CAGGTGGAACAGGCTGCCTGTGTCCAGCTTGTGTTACATGCTCTCCAGGTCATGCAGTGCAAGGACTGTGGCTGAGTGCAGACACAGCCACTGGGGTCAGGCTACAAGCCCCACACTGCAGCAGGCACCCTACGGTGTGCATCCTTAGCCCTAACAGGGCAGGACGGGCAGCTGTGATGGAGCAATCACAGTCAGCAGGCAGGCAGCCAGCACGGCCCCAGCTGTGCCAGAGGGGGTTTGTTCCTTGCCCACGGTCTGGGCGCTATTTTGGGCAGCCCACTGCCCCGCAGTGCCCATGCCAAGTCTGGTTTTAGCAGTGTGCAGCTCCACTGACTCACCGCTTGTATAAGCGGCCTGTGGTCGCCGGCGGTGGCCCAGAAAGTGCGGCCCAGTCGGGGCCCCCCTCACCTGATGGTGCCTGAGCAAATAAATAAATAAAGCCACACTGCACCCGCCACGCGCCTCAGTGGCAAACACACAGGGCGGGCCCGGCGCCCACGCAGCGGTCAGCCCCCATGCAGCAGTGGGTACCCACACTCACCCCAAACTGCCCCTCTCCCCACAACCTGCAGACGGGTGCACAGAAATGAGTGTAGTGTACAGAAATGGGATGCTGCGTTCTGCCCAATGCACACGTCAGTGCTGGGACGCACACGTGTGCTTTTGCTCAATGATGAGTACAGCACTGAGGCCTGGATGCATACGTGGGCTTGCTCCTCTCAGCCAAGCATCCCCAAGAGTCAGCCCCATGTTCCTCATCTGCCCTGACCCCCAGTCAGCCTTGAGGACTTGTGGCTTGTCCCTGCTAGCGCAGAGCTGTGGCCCTTCCCAGTGCCATGCATATGGAGCTCAGTGCAGATGAGCACCCGCAGCTTCACCCTGTGCCACAGACCATGTGTGTCCCACATCACGCCTGTGCCACTGGCCCAGAGGCAGCTGCAAAGCCACAGCTACCTTGCACTAATTAAAACCATTTGTCATCAGAAGGAGCCAAAAGGCTGTTTCCTCCTCTGCCACCCTGCCACAGCGGGCTGGGTTTGCAGGATGGACATGGTCCCTGCCCTGCCCAACACATTGCCAGAGTCACCCATGGGCAGCCAGCAGCAGCTCCAGTCCCCAGGCTTATTTTTAGCACCTATTAAAAAGGAGAGGCAGAATGGTGCGGGCAAGCAGAGCCTGAGCAGGTGGCTGGCTGCACGTGCTGGCACTGGGCAGGTGAAAGCCAGCAGTACCAGTGAGAGCCCTCCACCTGCCCGCATGCCCCTGTGCCCTGTGGGATGGGGACGGACGCCTGGCCCTGTCCCAGCCCTGCTGCAGAACAATGGGATGGGGCTCTGACCCCCGCACTCCCTGACGTCAGTCCTGCAGCCCCACCAGCCCCAGCCCAGAGTTCCCACTTGCCCTCAGCTGGGGCCACGCTGGAAGCTGGTGTTTGTTTATCTTCCTCTCCAGCATTGCTTGTTTTGATGGCACATCCTCCTCCTCGCTGGGCCAGGTCAACCCGTGAACCCTCCACGTCCTGTTTGCCGGGGCCCTGCACCACAAGCCAAGTGCACAGGGCGGCCGGAGGTGCGGAGCATCCACCCCAGCGCGCACCGGCCACAGGAGATAAAAATATGCAGGGTGAAGCATCCTGGGGCACAGGGGCTATATTTGAACTGATCATATCTGTGAGTTTATCCCAGTGGTTTTGACTGCTCTGTGGCTGGGCCAGTGCAGGAGAAATGACCCTCATCACCACGGGGCTCTCCAGCAGTGCCTGCTGTAGATGTGTCCCTGGACCTACAGCCCCAAGGTGCTCAGCCCTGCAGCTGACCGCTTTCCCCCTCCCCATGTGAGCCCCTGGGCTTGCCAATAAAAGCTGCCGCCTTCACCTTGCCATACGCGTGGCTGCTGCTCTCCCTTAGTTCTGCCTGAGTGCAGGCAGCTGCTAAGCAGTGAACACTTGCCAAAAACTGCGTGTGTGAAAGCGTCGTTTCCTAAACGTATAAATATTCCCAGGGCTTTGCTGGAAAACTCCCCACGATTAGTTACAACACCCTGGCCAGCAGAGCCTTGTGAAAGGGCATGCTTAGCAGTGTGCTCCCGTGCAGCTCTGCCTTTGGGGCTGGCAGGTCCTTTCCTCTCCATGGGGCATGTACCATCAGTTTGGGAAGTTGAGGCTTCAAAGCTGCCACAGGCAAAGCTATGGAGTGCATTCCTGCATCCTGCGGCCCCGCACCCCATCACGTTGCCCTCATCATTAAACATCTGCAATCTACAGTCTCATTGCACATGGGACCATCAGAGCTCTCCATCTGACCTCTCAGCCACTGATGTTTAACCACGCACAGCCCGATACTGAGCCCAGCATCTTGGTTTGCTTCCCAGCAGGCTCCCAGCCCGCTTTTGGAGACATCAAGAGATGGAGACTCAACCACTGCCCTTGGGAACATATCCCAGTTGCTAATCACCCTCAGGAACAAAACCATGTGCCTTTGTCCTAGCTGGGAATCGCCTGGCTCTGACTCCCTGTGCCTGGCTCACATCCTGCTGCTCTTTGCTAGATTAAAGGGAGCCCTTTGCTAACCAGCATCTTCTCCTTGTAAAGACCCTCATGCGCTGCAATCAAGGCACCTCTCAATTTTCTTTCTGATAAGCTAGACAGAGCTCTTGCCTTCCAAGTCACTCAATGCCGGGCTCTCTCTAGCCCTCAATGAATTCCTGTGACTCCGCATTGATTGCCCAGTATCTTTTTTACAACCCAGGCATGGGAGCTGGTGGCAGCATTCCCAGCATCCTGCAGTGTGCCCAGAGGGACCCTCTGCCCCTCCTGCACCTCTTGCTGCTCCTATTATAATGCTACACAGTGCTGAAATACCTGCCCATTTTGCAGAGATAACTAGATTGTCTAAACTACTCCAATTAGCCTCACATTCCCAGAGCAGAGCACTGCAGCAGCTCCTGCCAAGGATGGAGATGCCCTGCTGATGCCATGAGGTGTCTGGAAACCCCAGCTTCACAGCCAGAAGGGCAGAAGGAAATCAGGAGTGATGAGGGAACAAGAGAAAAGACAGCAGCAAATATCATGGTGCTCCTTGGGGTGAATCCATCCCAGGCACATGCAGACCTGGTGCCACCTCTCCAAAAGGATGTAGTAGAAATGAAAAGACACAGAGGTATGCAGAAGTCTTTAACAGCTTCTCTGCAGCAGAAGGCTAAAAACCCAAAGAATGCTCAGCCTCAGAAAAGGGCAGCTCAGAAATCCTGATAGAGATTCTATAAAATTCACAGTGGGAGTTCTCCATGGAATTGTACAGAGAAACTGAGCAGCTCCCTCCTCCCTCCAGCACAAGCAGCCTCCCAGCACCACCGAGCAGCTTCTCCCATGCCCTACGCCATAGACCCCAAGCTTCCACCCCACATTCATCTTTAGCAGATGTTGTGCATCCATGCCTTGGACACAGACATACTTCATCATCTCCTAGTACCGGCACGTCCACCTGCATCCTTCCAGCAGCAGCACAGAAACATTTGCCCAGCACTTCTGCCATGTCTGCTTCACTATCAATCATCTTACCACCTCCACCTACTAACAGGCTTAGCCCGTCGCTGGGACTTTGGGGTTTTCTCCTAACACACTAAATAAAACCTTTTCCTTCTGTCCTTCGCCATGATTTTTTCTCTGATGTCTTTAGCTTCTGTTACCCATTTTCTACACTTCATAATTTCTAATTTATATGGATTGCTATCTACTCCTGCTCTCCCATTTGTTATAAACTGCTCTTTTATTTCTAATTGCTGCCTTCACTTTGCCGCTGAACCAGAACGGGCTTTCGGCCAGCACTGCCCTCTTTCTTGATTGTGGAATTGTGGCTTTTTGTGGCTTCTGAGACTCTTCTGAAAGAGCTCACAATTTTCATTCACATTTTTCTATCTAAATGTTTCCTCCTAGCTGATTTCACTCATAATTTCCCCCTGCTTTGGGAAATTAGCCCTTTCAGAGCATGAAGGATATAAATTACTGTTTAGGAATGTCCTTTCTTTGCCCAGGGTGAATGTAATCTGGTCGTGATCATCGGTCCCTAGGCAACCTCTAAGTTTCAGTCCAGCAATGAATTCATCTCTATCCATCATAACCAGGGGGAAACGAAAGCTGCCTGTGCTGGATGCAATGCCTCCTATGTAAAGGAGGATCGCCTCTAATTTTTAGAAGCTCTGCAGATGGTTTATAGCCAGCTGTACAAGAACATCAGCATGTGTCCCACAGAGCAATGTGCTCTCTATGCAGCATGTGTGACACCACACTCTGTGTTCCCAGCTGATACCAGGGTCCCCTGCTACTGCTACTGCTCCCCACTCCTGCACAGCTGGCAAGCAGAAGCTCCGGAGTCTTTTTGTGCTCATCGGTATCAAATAATTTCTGACATTTCCACATTGCTTTGAACCATTTTAGTGGTTCTGTGATAAAAAGGGAGCAGAGGAAAGCTTCTGCTTCCAACCTCACTTTCTCCAAAACACATATCTGATTTCAGAGCCAAGCGTGCCATGGGGTGAGGGGTGAGCGTGACACCAAGAACAGGCTGCACAATCAGCCACTGCAAAGCCGCTCCTAAAAGCCAAAGATGAACCAGAGCAGATGGCATCTCCTCATTCATCTGCTTTCTGCCTGCTGTCAACATCAAGCTTTTGGGTCCACAGGAAGGTGCCCTCAGAGCAGCCAGCTCGGCTCACAGCCCTGGCAATTCCAGCAGCCAGGCAGCGGTGAGAGGATAACAAAACTCAGTGCCATATCCCCAATGGAAGACACGTCCCCAGCCCAGCTTGTCCTTCAGACCAGACAAAAGGGCTCAAGGAGGGACACATGAGAGCACAATGAGCATTACCCCTCTCTAGCCAGGTCCAGCCATCCCTACCAGAGCTCCCCATCCAGCCCAGCAGACCACAAACTGGGGCCTCTAGTTTTCACTCCTCACAACACCTCGGTTGGAGGAAGGAGAAGGACTGGCACCACTCCTTACCTCAGCCATGAAGTTCTGCAGAAATGTCTCCTCGCGGAAGGGCTCTGTTCGCAGGCGATCTGCAAGGGGGAGCAGGAATCAGTCTGAGAGGGACAGACAGACCTCCCAGCCCAGTTTCACATTCTCCTGCCTGTTGGGACTGCAGCTTCCAGGGGAACAGCACTCATCCCCTGAGCCAGCCACACCACCTAGCAGGTCCTTGCTCTGGGGACACATCTTTCAGCTACCCGAAGGTGCAAGTGCTCCTCTGCAGCAGCCCATGGGCTGGTTTCTCCCCTAGCAAGAGGTGTCCATTATATTTTGATGCCTTACCCCAGCTTCAAGAAGAGCCCAGATTGGGGTCTGTGGAGATGCCATGACTTGTCCACATGTGAAGAATCTTGGAAGCACTGCCCCAGTCTGCACATTGCTCAGCCATGCGCCCAAGGGATCCGGAGCTGCTCATCTCCAGCTGCCTTTCTGGGGTGAACCTGACTGCGTCCTCGTGTTGCAGGATAGGGACAAACCCCCATTATACCTCATTCTGCACTAAGTTTCTCTCATCATTGCAAAGGTGTTGCCTGAAGAAGTACTTGGCCAGCTTTGCTCAGGTATACTGAGCAATGCAAGGGAAACCCACCAGTATCACTCCCTGGACCCCAGACAGGTTTTCCAGCTGCTCCAAGCTCTGTAGAACAGGGCAGGTGAGCACAGCTGGCTGGGCAGATTGGGTGCATTCAGCCACTCTCAGGGACAGGGAGCACACTTCAAGAGTCCCCTCAGCAGGACCTAACCCTTGTCCTCTCCAGGGGGCTTCCACCTTCCTATCTTCCACACCAGGCTGCATGCTGGACAGGGGCCGATGCACACAGCTGCACTTCCACCAAAGTCAAGCCAGGAGCTACTGGTTGCCCTCCAAGAGCTCTGCAGGAAGGAACCGGACTCAGCTCCAGGACCAGCCCCTGCTGGCATCAGCACGGACTCCTGGGGAGCAGCCAGGTGCTCTCAGCAAAGCGGAGAGCCCCTTGGCGATTCCCCAAGTCTTCCAGCTACCAGCCAAGGGCTGTTCCTCCCCTCACTGTCCCCAAGGGGCTGCTCCCCAGCCTCCCGACTACTGTCTTGCCGCTGGAGCGGCTGAACATGAAACGCAAGCCTGGCTGGGTGATAGCCAGGGGGAACAGAGCATGCCAGCTCGCTGCTTGAGCCTCCTCACCTCTGCTCAGAGTGGCCCCGCTCTCCCTGTAGTCTTCAATCTCAGCATCCTTTCGGAGCAGCAGGGAGGTCAGCTCTTGCACCTGGTGCTGCAAAGCCAGGCTCATCCCTATCAGGGGGCGCACCAGGTGACGGCACACCTAAGATGTGAGCAAGGAAAAGGGAGCAAGAATGCTGCAGGACACATCCCTCCACCCTATCCCTGCCACTTCACAGCTGGGGACTGCAGCACGAGTGGGAGCCCAGTGGGGACAGGGTACGGCGGCCGTGCTGCCTGTGCCACCTGGAGTCCAGCAGGAGGCGAAGAGCGAACTATGTGCCCCCAGACCTCAGTGGGCCCACCCAGACCCTCCCCGCGGATCTGTGCACCGCTATACAGGAAAACGGCTACACTAGGTGAAAAATCAGAAGGATCTCAGGCGTCCAAACACAGCTGGAGGAAAAGGAGAGCAGAAGCAGGCTGCAGCTCCCCACGGCAGAGTCCTGGGCACGCAAATCCTCAGCCCGGCCACTCCGCCGAGCGCAGAGAAAACGCTCCGCACCTCCTCCGCGCGGACTCGGAGCTGTCAGCGGGGCCGGCACCACGAGCCTTAGAGCGAGCGCAGGGCGCCCTCTGGTGCCTTACAGCCCGCCCGCACCCGCAGCCCCGCACCGCCCCGACGGGGTCCGCCTCACCGTCGCCACGGGAGCGGGGCGGCAGCGGAAGTCCCAGTAGAAGGGCAGCCCCGAGAGCTCGCTCCTCACGCGCAGGCTGAGCCCTCCGGCCGGGCGCTGGCAGGAGAAGGAGGTGGCGGCGTGCGGCTGCCCTGCCAGCACGGGGCTCAGGAGGCCGTGCAGGCGCTGCAAGACCGAGGAGACGTGGGCCGTCAGCCGCTTGTTCAGCTCCTGGGGAAAAGCAAGGGAGGGCCGTCAGGGGTCGGCTCTAGCTAGCTCTGCTCAGCCCTGAGGTTGGGGCTGTGGGCTTCCAGAGGTCTCTTCCACCTCAGGCGGTGTTTCTGGGAGCAAAACTAGCGGGAACCCCAGCATGCAGTGAGACAGATCAGACAGATCGCTGCTGTGCATCCCGGTGCTGGGAAAAGCCACCCTTAGGCTGTGAATCCCAGCCCCACGACGTTCCCCCTCACCCCCCCCACCCAACCTACCCAGGAAGCGGGGGGCACAGCAGCAGCAGGACTGCTTAGGTGGGAGTTTGTACCCCAGCCTTGCTGTTGTACCCCATCAGCTGTTGTGTCACCCAGTAGTTTGTGCTGGGACATCAGCTGGCACGAAGAGGATCAGACATCCCTGGACTCTCCAGACACTCACCTTGGACCTTTGCCCCACAGCCTCCGCGTCGGCACTCTCGCACCAGACACTGCTGAGGTCGGAGATCAGCAGCATGTAGCTTGTATCCCCAAAGCAAGCTTTGGCAATAAAAGTGGACTTGTCAAAGCAAACAGAAGCCCAAGGCTGGGTCAGGAGCCTGCTCTCCAGCTCCTCGGAGCACTCCATCTGCAAGAGAGCAAACAGGTCTCTGCCTCATCCCCAGCCCAGCAAGGCTCTGTGGGACAACCTCACAGAGACCCTTGGTCCCCCGCAGCCCCTCTGTGCTGCCCAGGGTGAGGCTGCTCAGGCAGCTCCACGCACCCCTGCATGGGCACACAGCTCTGCTGGGACCAGCACGGGGCAGATCCCAGCCTGACTCAGCGCAGCCCCTTTGCCCACCAGGCAGGGGCCCAGGTGCCGTGCCCAGCAGGATGGGGCTCTGCGGGTACAATTACCCAAGGAGTGAAGCAGTGGGCAGCCCAAGGCTGCGGGCAGCCGGCTTTGCAGCAGCCAGCCGGAGGTGAGGGCCAGACTACGGCTCCCAGCATGCTGTTCTCTTCCGTGCTGCGCAAAGGCACCGGTGCACACTGGGATGGGCAGTGCCACACGTCACCAGCACGGGGAAACAATTTGGTGCAAGCGTTTGGGATGTGGGGGAAGCCTTGCCTGCATCACAGTGCTGGCAGATGGCAAATGGCAGCCTTGGGCTCACTGCTCACCCCAGCTACTGTGGGGGTGTCCATGGGGGTGTGGCCCAACGCATGCACTCGTGATCCTGCTATTCCGGGGTGCTTTGGGGCACAGCAAGGTTGCAGGTCCCCACAAACTCCCCACTCAGCAGCTAGGTTCAGGGTACAATGCACATGGGAAGCAGTCCCAGAAGGTTTGCATGGCTAAAATATGGCCTTGAGCTGCAGAAGAGTTAGGGGTGCATGGCCAAATTAGGTGCAGGAAGAGCTGTAGTGCAAGAGTTTGGGACACAGGGTGCAGCCTGAGTGAGTCCCTGCTCTGTGCCCTGTGTGTGCACATATGAGACAGCAAAATGGCTGGCACTTAGGAAGCTGCACCCACACTCTCTTCCCTTCCTGCAGCCACCTTTGGGTGCTCCTGAGTATCACGGTGCCCTTTGGGACCAGACTAGGGGGAACCACAACAATGGCACTGTAACCCAGCCTGGTGATAACACTCTGGTAGTCCGGCTCCTTTGTCCTCCCAGCCCAAGACCTTCTGTCCTTGTACCCTGGTTTGCAGTACACTGGAACTGCAGGGATTCCTCCCCAGCTGGGCTGTCACGAGCCAGTTCGAACTGGTGGAGGCAGCACTGGAGTGAGGGCCATGCTCCTGAACTCTGATCTGTGAATGCTGCAACCGGAGCATAGCTGATGCAGACCTCACTGCTGCTAGTGTAACTGGACGGCTCCTCAGAGGATTCCTGTGCCTTTCTGCTGCCTTGGGAGATGAACAGCAAAACGCTTATCCACCATATGAAGCCCAGCACTCTGGGACTGCCAGACAAGGGACAATATCTCACTCCTGGGCATCATTTCCTGCCCTTATACATTGCCAGTACAGAAAGGCCGGTACCTACAGTTCTTTTGGACTACTCAAAGCATCGAGCCCTGCCCCAGCAGGTGGGAGGTGATAGCACCCAAGGGGTGAAGATGGGGTTTTAGGGGCACCCACCTTACCAGCTGCAGCAAAGCATGGTATGGTTGTGTCCTCTGCAGGCACAGTCATAGACTGGCACCTCCCAGACAAATCCTGTCCAGAAAAGAAAGCCCAAGGACAGAGGTGGTTGAAAGTTTTTATAACTCCCCTCCGAAGCAGGGAAATGAGGTCCACAATGAGTGTGAAAGAGCAGGTCCCTTCTGAAGGTTTGAGAAGTGAGGAGAAGAGGCTTACAAGCTGCCTTGGAGGGCTGGTTCACGTCCCCTGTGAGATGTCCCCACCTGTTCAGGCTCCTGTGTGCCATGCAAGAATCTCTGCTTGGCTTGGCTGCCTGTCGGCCTGCATCTCCCCCGTGCCAGGCTTCAGGAGCAGGTGTGTCCCTTCCCCTGCAGCAGCCATCCCCTCCTCAGCTACACGGCCACCATCCTCCTCTTCCTCCTTTTCATCCTCACTTCCCGGGCAGAGGAAGCAGCAGGGGAAGGCTTTGCAGGAAGAGGGGAGCAGCCTCCTCAGCCTGGTGGGGAGCCCATATACAGTGCTGGCTTTGCTCCCCTCTCTCCTGGGCTGACCAGAACTGGTCCCAGGTTTCCGCTGCACCCTGTCAGCAGGCAGACCTCTCTCCTCCAGAGTGCCTGCAACCAGGGTGATGGGAGAACTGACCCCTTGCTCTCCACAGCCAGGTCCAGAGAACAGGGGCTCATGGGGCCACACTGCAGCACCCAGAGCATCCCCTTACCTGAGACTGTGTTCTCCAGAAAGAAGGACAAGAAGCCAGTTAAAAAGACAGGCATCACAAGCAGGGAGAGGAAGAGGAGGTCCAAGGGAACCCAGCCTGGAGTGACAGGACCCGACCTGAAATGTCTCAAGCCAGCAACAGGCAAGGGGCAGAAACTGCTGTAAGACCAGCCTCCCATGACAGCAGGGACAGGTAGCTGCCATGCCATGCCACGGGACTGAGGTTTTGCCATCCCTATGGAGCATCCCCACTACCTGTGACCAGGCGAGCTGGAGACACGCTGAGCCACCGTGGCACCAGCAGTGCCATGAACATGGTAAAGCCAACGATGAAGATGTTCCTCCCAGAGTCAATGTCTGCGTACTGAAAGTACGAGATCCCCGTGCCCACGGCCACAGCATAGGTGACGCAGAGCATACCACCTGCATGGGGCAGGAGTCTTGCAGGATGTGGGCTCACATTGCTGCTTTGCAGCACAGGGGGAGGAGAAAACACCTACCATGAACTGCCAGAGGGATGTGAGCGAGGAGCCCCACCAGCCTTGGGGACATGCCCAGCATCACACACACCAACGCGTTGAGTTGCACCGAGAGGCGAGAGCCATCCTGTCATCAAGGAGGAAGGGAGGGATGAGGAGCACCACCCTGCCATGCAGACTTGCCATTCAGCCCCTTGTTTCCAGCAGCCAGAGCCCAGAACCACAGCAGTAGGTTTCCCATACCCTCCATGCTCCCACCCTCACCAGTCTCCCCCCAGCTGTACCTGCGTGAGGCCACCGGCACAGGCATTGGCGATGCTGGCAGCCGTGCCCCCTGCAGAACCCAGCAGCCCTGCCAGCAGGCTGCCCAGCCCCTCGATGCACAGCCCTCGATTGCAGGTGTGTGGGGGCAGCTGGGGGGCTTGCAGCAGCCTCCCACAGAGCACGTAGCAGCCCACAGAGTTAATGCTGCAGCCGAAGGCCATAGCGATGCCCACTGCCAGCGCCCGGGGGGTGAGTAGCGGCCACTCACCTGCAGCAGAGGACAGGGGACAAGTGACATTGCCTTGGGGTGACAGCCACACACAGCCCTGCAACCCCACCTGCATAAGGCAGCTGAAGCCATGGGGTGTGAAGGGTGCTGTTGACCCAGGAAAGCTGTGCTGTCGCCAGGTCTGGCAAGTCCCAGGAGACGTGGAAGTGGTGGACGATAGAACAGATGGTGCAGACAACAGCAAATGGGAGGAGAACCTGTAAGGTAGCACAAACCTGAGGAGAGGTCCTCCAGCCTGCTCTCCTTGACTGTAACCCTGCTTATTGTGCTAGCACCCCATCACTTCTCCCAAGGAGCTGTTCCACATCTCCCATTAGCCCACAGGGAGCACCCCAAGCTCAGTTGCCCCAAGCACCCTCTTGCATAGGTCCCCAATGCTCCCATGGCCCCCGGTGCTGCCCCAGGACTCACCCACTTCAGCCCCCAGCAGCCAGTTTGACCCCAGGACCACCAAGTTTCCTTTAACCCTACCAGGACCCCAAAGGAGCCCATGTGCAGCATGCTGAGCAGTATGTGAGCAGTGATACCGAGAGAGTGCGCAAGGTGGGGACAGACGACTCCATGGAGACCCCTGGGGCATAGGGCCAGACACAGAAGGGCAGGCGGCAGGATCCCAGGTGCTGGGAGAAGGTGATGGTGAGGAGCATGAGCCTGGGAAGAGGCACAGGTCACCATGCAACATCATGGATACGAGGCCCCAAACGTGTGCCTTGCACCATGGGGACGCCTCTTTCCCTATGACAGGGAAGCACACAGAGCTGCACGCCAGCTTGGCTCCCAAACTGACGTACAGCAGCGCTACACCCCAGTTGGCAGAGCAGAAGAAAGCAGCCTCCTTGTAGGCAGACAGCCCGATGATAGAGAGGCTGGGGGCTAGGACCATGGGCCCACAACGCTGCACTGCCCAGCCACACACACCCACGGCTCCCAGCACCAGCTGGACCAGCCCGGAGATCAGCACAGCCCCAGACACCTGCAGGGGAAAGAATGAAATACACAGAGAGCATCCCAGTCTCTCCCAGTCACCCTCAAATGAACACCTGTTCCTTATGCTCCAGCCTTGTGCTCACCCCAAGCCCAGGGAAACCCATGTGCACCATCATTCCCCCTATCTCTTCACATCTCCTTGTGCGCCCCTACTCATAGCAATCCCCTGAAGAGCTGTGGGAGAGATGGGACAGGGGCTGAGGGGCACAGACAGCAACAGGAGCACAAGAGGAGCACCCACCTCTCGCAGTGAGGTGGTTCTGCTCTCCATGATGGTGCAATGTGGTTCAGGGCACATGGTGGCCATAGCCATGCCTGGAATGGAATTTCGGAAGGATGCAAGACTCACAGACACTGAGCCCGCCTGGGGAGAAGCTTGCAGAACATCAGATCTGAAGGCATGCAGCATAGGACTGCAGGCTGGAGAAGGGCACAACAAGAACATCCCAGAAAGCACTGCCTCTGGCTCTGGGCATGGTATAAGCCACAAATCATGCATTTGTGGCTCCAGACACATTGTCTTTGTAACCAGAGGTGAGCAGGGTGCCCAGAATTCTGTGTTTCATCACCAGAAGAGCCAGCCAGCAGACCCTTTAGTATCCCTCACCCTACCCAGATGCACTGGCATGGCCTAGGACCCCACAGGATACAGGGGAGAGGTTCCAGGGCTGCACTCACCATTCCCATCTTCACTGACTCCAGGGGACAAGTGGGAGCTCAGCACCAAGGCAGGGACCAGGTACTCAAATGATGGGATTTGAACCAGTGGCAGCCTGGGGAGGGGAACAGCGAGGGCAGGTTAGGGAGAAAAAGGGGCTTTGAGATCTCTCAAAACTCTAGGAGCTGGAGGAGTGACAGGTAGGAAGGGGAAGATGTGAGATCCCCATATACCAAATGTGCCTTAGCACATCCTGAGTGACAGCACTTGGCAAAGCCTCTGGATACACCCCAAAAGCACATGCCCAGCCCCTACACCATAGCTGTGCATGATGCTGGAGCAAGGCAGCCAGGAGCTGCAAAGCACAGCAGTATGCTGGAGGGAGAGGTGAGAGGAGGATTCAGCAGTGGCAGGGAGGGGACAGTCTGTTCCATGATGTAGGGCAAGGGGTCATTTTGGAAAACCCAGCCCTTGTGCCTCTTCGTACCTCCATCCAAACCTATCCAAACCCAGGCTCAAAGGGTGCAGAGCCATGTCCTGGCCCAGTATCACTCCATTTGCTCACCGACTTCCCAGGGTGGTCTGCAATAATGTGGAGACGCCACAGGCAAAGAGGCTGCGTGCCAGCAGCACACTGGCAGCTGGAGTGCGGAACTGCTCCTCAGACAGGGCAGGTAGCAGTAACAGGTGGAAAATGCAGAGCAGGGAAGCCTGCATCGCAAGATGCTGCAGAGGGGAAAGGGTACATGGTCATGACATCCCATGGCACCCAGTGCCATCACTCCCATGCCCAACACCTTGCGTGGGTGCAGCATTACTCCTGCTGTCCTCTCTCTTTCCAGCACACCCTGACCAGAGCTACAAGGACACCTGCCGTAGCAGGATGCAGCCTCCTCCTGCATCTGACAAGGATCCAGCCCAGCCCTCTCCCATCACCCCATCTCGCTGCAGTCCCTTCTTACCTGCAGGGCTAAGCAGCAGCTCAGCATCCAGGAACACACCTTTGGCCAGGAGCAGGATGTGAGTGCCGGGCTCCCAGCACCAGTCACTGGATGGCGGCCCCCATTCATGCTGCTTCCTTCCCTCATTGCCACCCAGTTTGCAGGGCAGGGTCTCACCTCCCCAAGGAATCCACGCAGTCCCTACAGAGGGCTGAACTTCCACCTTCTGCAGAAGCTGCCCTAGGGTTAGCCATTAACCTGAGTTGGTGAGTAACCTGCCCTTACAGCCAGGAATGCAAGTGTCACTATGGGTGTCACCATAAGGGCCAGGTGATAACCGCCCCTGGCTAGGAACTGGACATTGCCACAGTACCAACTGCCTGTAGCCTGGGTCTCACTCAGCCCCTGCATCCATCCCTGCTTCTTTTGGTATACAGAGCAGGGACTGTGCCAGAGCTCAGAAGACACCTCTCCACATGTGCTTGAAGCTCAGAAGACACCTCTCCACCCACATCCCCACCCACAGCATCCTCAAGGTCCAGCCTGGCTAACTGACAGTTTAATCCCATGAAATCTCTGTTGAATTATTAGCTGGGCCTCCAACTTCCAGAACTGCATGCTGCCCCTCCTCAAGCAAACTGAAGATTTCCTGGTGTCCAGTTCAGACAGAGAGGATTCTGCAACCATTAAGTCCTGCTCAGAAGTCCAAACTGACTTTCAATGCAGGATTTTCTACACATATTCACCACATATTCACCACTATTCCAAGCCCTCAGCTAAAAGAACATAATTGCCCAGTCCTTCATGTGATTAGAACTGAGTTGTGTCCATAATAATTAACTGTTGCAAAATGCCAGAATTTGCTGTAAGGAACGGCTGAGAATGACTGCAGAGGAATTACTTGATAAAAAGATTTTGGTTGAAAGCAATGTGTGGAAGTCACCTAGTCCAAATACCCTTTCCACACAGTGCTAACTTCACTTCATGTTTTGAGATCCTGGGCCTTGTCTCTCTGAGTTCCAGTGTGCAAGGTCTGCTCTGAAAGTAATGCCTCCTGTTTTACAGCAGTGGACCTTTACATGTACAAGAACAAAGAGACATTAGCACCACAGGAAACAGCTGCGGTTCTACAGATTGAGGGCAGCTAGAAATTTAGCCAAGAGCCTCACTTAATGAGCTCATATTGCACTTCAGGGCTCTCGTGCACATGTAGTTGACTGACAACACTGCACAACCCTGCATCCACAACACTGCTGAGACTGCTTAAGGGAAGATCTTAAAGGACAGGGAAAACAGGAAAATCAGAGGAGGATGAAGAATAAGCTTATTCACTGAGCATGTACCATACAAAATATTTCTTCCTTTCGTGAATGGCAGATAAAGTTCCACATCCATCCACCTACTACCAATGTTGCTTACAGTACAGTAAATCATGTTCCTTACTATCACATCTACGCATTTCTTGAACACCTCCAGGGACAGTGACTACCCGGGCATCCTCGGGCACAACTCACAGCTGTTTCCTCTAGTTCTATCGCTAGTTGCCCAGGAGAATAGGAGAGACTCAGACCTGTTGGTGGGCATCCAGAGAAGGGCCACAAAAAAGCATTCCAAGGGACAGAACACCTCCTCTATGAGGACAGGCTGAAAGCTGGGGCTGTTCAACCTGGAGAAGGCTTTGGGTAGACCCGATAGCAGCCTTTCAATATCAAAAGGGAGGTGATAAAAAAGCAGGGGACAGACTTTTCTTTAGCAGGGTCTGTTGTCCAGGGTCTGGAGAAGGTGAAGTTGTTTCAAACCATGTTGGAATTCAATGATACACCTTTGCTTCATACACAATTCCAGGTCAGGTGCCATTTTGTCAGACTGCCCTGCTGCCATCTGTCATATGGCAACAAAGTGTAATGGAATACTGGTAGGAAGGTTCTTCTGTCATACCACCAACATCCACCATGGGCCAACTTCTGGAGCAGCCCTTGCATATTGCTATTATCTAGTTATACCACAGTACCTTTGAAAAGATGCTAGCTAAGCTCAGTGTTGTATTAGGCACTGTATATATACATACATGTTAGTGCATATATTTATGCATATATTAATTAAGCTCTAGCTGCTCTTCTCTCTGTAAGAACATGCTACCAAGGACTGTCTTTTCATTGTGAATGTTTGACTTGTAGCAGCCACTGCAATCTCTTGTTATTGCACAAGCCACCCATAGACAATGAATACCAGAAGCACCGCAGCCATTTTATGCACAGGGGGCTGAAAATGCCAAATGCATTTGTAGTGAAGAATCAAAAATTTTTTTTTTGCCATTTCCATTTTACCAATGTTTCATGATCTCTCACGATCATGAGAGATTAAACTGACGTTCTGTAACATAATGCTTTCCTATCAATGATCTCAATGCAGGCTTCCCTTTGTTACACTTTGAAAGCAAGTTTTCATTTCCTAATATAGCAGAAATGCTGTCAGGGCTTGAAACAGTGATTGAGCACCTGGTGGGAAGGCAGGGCCAACCCAGGGATCTCAGGTGCATCTGATGCCACTGAGTGAAGGAAGGGATGGAGCCAGGATCCACCCCTTCCTAGACCTCATTTAAGGGCTGGCAGTGGAAGTGTGGACATCTTGGTGGAGATTCCTGCCTGCTGGAGGCCTTCTGTAGGTAAGCAGTTTTTCTTGCTTTGTGTTTGTGGCAGCTGCTGCATTTGGGTTTGTGCCACTCTGCTCTTACTGCTGCGCTTTTTCACATTATAGTGTTACACATATGCATGTGAATATCTGCCTGTATGGGTGAGTGTGAGTAGGAAAGTCCTTGGGAGAATTTAATATTTATCCTGTACTTTCAATTGATTTGCTTCCAATTTGCTTGTTAATCTTTTTCAAGAGAAACCTCTGAGATTTTTTAAATTGACATACTATAAGGACTTCTTACGGATGTGAAGCATAGTGTAACATCTACATTCTAATGGATGGCTGAGGACAAGGAAAAAAATCATAACAAAGAGGGTTATGTCTTAATTTTCTTCCCTAGCAATATTTTTAAGTCTTGAGAGTGTGCCTGTGCTTTTGTACAAAAAAGAAAGAAATACACAATGTGGACTTCTTGTGGACCAAAAAAAATAAAAAAGACTTAATTTTAAATTCTACTTCAGTATTAGAACATAAACCCAGAGTAACAACAATTCCTGTGACTTTTTGTAGGAGCCAGTTATGGCAATTGCCTTGAAGAGCGTTTGGCTTTATTATATTGCCCTCTACCAGCACTGCAGGAGATTGCAGACTGATGCTTAGCACATGGAGGAGTAAGTCTGGCAGGAGAACCACGAGATCAATAGAAGTAAGTTGCTTCACACTGCTTAGCAGTATTGCAGAATAAAACGTTCCTGGCTTTGAAATCCAAAGAGGGGCCTGGGTTTTCTTCAGCCTTGCTGAAGGGTTATTCATTTCTTTAGAGAAGAATCATGTATTTAGGAGAGAGATCCAGTGTTATAAACTTGCCATACCGTTGCAGTGGTATCCTTGGAATTAATGGGGAAAAACCATCTGAGTTCTGTAGATACGAGCTGGTGAGAGAACTGTTGTGTGAAACTGTGAAGAAAGTTTCTTTAGCTCCTGTGCCAAAGGTTGTTATTATTTCTAATTTTTGTCGACATTCTAAAAGAATACATAGTTTTTTCCCCACTGAAATATTACTATGATTAGAATTTATTATCATTCAGCATCTGATTTAAACTATTTTCCCCTTCTAAATTTTAGATTATTCAGTGTCACTGAGGTCAATGGGAGAAATGGATCCCATGAATTTCTCTTCTTAGCTTGAGAAAGGGCTTGAAATATCTGGCTTATCTTGAATCCACAGTGGAATCTTCAGTGTTTCTCCAGTGTAGGTACCTAAATAACACTGTTATACCTCGACTGTTATTGCTGTTGTCACAGCTTTTGTTGACTGATGTGGTCTCTTCTCACTGGTGACAGGGCGAGGAAATGCCTTCAAGTTGCGCCAGGGTAAGTTTAGGTTGGATATCAGGAAAATCTTCTTCACAGAAACGGTCGTTAAGCACTGGAATGGGCTCCCCAGGGAGGCGGTTGAGTATCCCTGAATGTGTTTAAAGTCTGTTTAGATGCGGTGCTCAGGGACGTGATTTAGTGGTGGTCTGTTAGAATTAGGGTAGTATGGTTAGTTGGACTCGATGATCTTTAAGGTCTCTTCCAACCTGAGTGATTCTATTTGAACTTTTAAACTAACACAGAAAAAAAGTCATAAATATTTCCAAGATGAAAACTTATCTTGATGCAGTTCCTTCAAGGGAAGATTGACCCAATGCAGTGGTTGAAGAAAGTTCTTCATGAAGCTTTGGCAGGATTTCATTCTTTTGTAGTTGAATTTGCCCATCTCACGTGCTGGAATAATCCTTTAAGAGAGCCATCTTTCTGTACAAAGAACTGGAGTACGTGTGAATTACTCATGGCAGCAAGCTGAAGATCTGACTCCTTGTGTGTGAAAGATGAAAGGTCAGGTCAGGACTCTTGGCCCTGTAAGATGCACCAGCTGTAGCTTCATCCCACCCATTTAATTCACAGATCTTGTACTCCTGTCTAGTTTTAGCAAGGTCATCCAAGCTTTCAAAACGACAAGAGAGGACAGTGTTTGAGAGCCAAGCTGATAAAGTTTTTTTTTTTTCTCTGGCTTTATCAGAAATAAGCCACCAGAACACTTCCAAGGAAACCAATCTGTTTAGGTATTCTTTCTTCTAAAGGCTATTTAGCAGTCCTATACTACTGTCTGTGGTTTGCTGTGACATCCCTGCTGGAGCAGAGGATTGACAAGCTTCCCATTGCTTGTCTTGGCTGAAGTGCTGAACTCTGCGTTTTGTGACCTTGAATGGATGAGGTTAAAGTTAGGAGGACTCACCTGTATTTTTAAGGAAGCTGTACTGATTGTTTCTATCTTATTTCGTGAAGTGTATTTTGATTGCTGAAGTGGCAGCGAGATCACCCTCAATAGGAGTGTTAGTGTGCAGCACTTATTTCTGTGGTGTATCAAAGTTGGAGGTATGCTTGAGAGTTCTTCAAATAGCTCTGTGAGGATGATGTAAAAAGGCACATGTAGAGAATTTACTCTAGTGAACTGTTCACAGAAACAAAGGGCTCCTGCGAAACTGTGGTTTGAGGCTGAAATACAGAATGATGTTGATAACCCTCATTATGTAGCTGGAGGCTTTCATAGGTGTCTCTTAAAATGCAGTGGGGAAACAAAGATCTATTCTGTCTCTGTTTCTTGATTAAGCAATGAGACTTTGCTGGTGATAAACTGATGTGTAAGAGAACACCAACCTCATTAGACTAAGAGGTGATGTTACTCTATTTTAGGTCCCTACATTTTTTTTTGTGAAACAAATGTGAAGTAAACTGTGTCACAAGGAACACTTAGTGTAAAACTCAGTGAGAATGAGGAAAAGAACACAAAATATTTAACAAAGTCTATATATTTATATATAATATATTTGATGATCCACAATAAAACTGTATTTTATTTTTTTGGATGCTGTTGTTTTTAGAGTCAAACCCTGGAAATAATGTTTTCACTGAAGTAACTTTCTGCTGGAGTCTGAGAAGGTGGTAGAACTGTATGCAGATAACTTAATAAAATATGAAACTTTGTTTTTGTAACTTTATTTTGAAAAATGTGTTGTCCAGTTCACCTGTATTCCACTTGGCCTTATAGTGATATGTATGTATAAAATACATCTGAATTTGCCTTTAAGAAGGAAGATGACAGAATTAATGTCTTGAATGAAGCACTCTGTACCATATCTATGCATAACTGGGAAAGCCTCTAGTGATTTCCAGCATCACAGGTCATCCTTTCTCCTGGTAGCTTAGGGGCCTTTCCATTAATGTCCTATTTTATGTGATGCCAATTTTTTTTTTTGCTTGTTTGGTTAAATGCTGGTAACAAAGTTCACAAAAGACTGGATTTTGTAAAATGTGGTTTTGTTTTTCTGGTATTAATGAAGCTGTTTGTCAAAGCATCTGCTACCTGTGTTTTCAGGATAGTGAAAATGGCAAGATGCCTCTTATAGTAAGAGCATTCATTCCACAGTATTTCTAAATTCTGTAGTAGTAAATAAGCAGTAAAATAGATATTACCAGGAATAAAACTAAAGCAAATTATATTTGTAGTGCTTTTACAGACTTTGCTAAGAGGAAAAAACATGATAAACAAAAGAAAGGTGTGTTAAGATGCTGAAGAGAATAGACTGTGATTAGTGCATGTTTTAGATATGCTGCCAGGTGGATGAGATGAAGGTGTGCATTTGCCAGCATTACTGCTCTTGGGTTTTGATTGTTCCAGCAATTTTAAGAAGCTGTTTTAGAAGGGATGTGCACACTTGGCACTCCTTTTTCTGTCTAAAGAAGCTGTCTAGATCAGAGGAAAAGATGTTGTTTTCCTCATGTTCTTGAAAGTAACCTTTTGTTCTTTGAAATTCTATGTGCTCTGTCCCACTGCTCCTCCTGTACTTGAGCTCAACTCCAAATTCTTGAAGGCAGTAACAAATTTTCCAGACAGTTGAAAGATTGGCTGACCTCTTGTTTCTGGGATCCAGTTGTTATCCATTTTTTGGGGGGGAGGAGGGGTAATTTACATTGTTTACAGTATATATTTGTGGGTAATGTGATTCCTTTATGAATTGTGCAAACTTAAAGATATTGGGGTGACACTTTCTGCCAAGAAGCAGTTCCTGAATCTCACCAGTGTAGGTGGGAGATAAAGTTCAGCAGTTTTCTCTCTCATAAAGACACTGTGACTGTAGGTTATATGTGGCTTCAGAGAGGTACCCAGTGCCAGCAGAATCTCAGTCTTGTAACACAAGGTTTAGACAGCAAACTTTAGACTGCAGATTGTTGGAAATATTTCCACAGGGGACCGTTGCTGAAAAATGTTCTGCTAAGACCATCTTCTTCCTTTCTCTTCTTATTTTCAACTTGTAAAAATGAATGTTTTCAAATGACTTTCAGTGGTAACCTTTCCTTCATCCAATATGTAAGTTCTCATCTAAATGAAGAGAGCCACTCAAATCTAGCCTACTTCAGACAGGTACTTGAGTCTGTTTTACTTGGAATCCAGTTAACAAAACTAAATTCAGCATGGCTGACCTACACTAACATGCTGGTGGTATTTTTGAGGGTTTGAGGTTTTTTACAAGTGGAGATGCTTGGTTCATCTCAACATGAGAGATGAACCATGCAGCGATGAAACCATTCACCACTCTCCTGAAGAGATTCTGAGAACAAGAGGATAGAAAAAAAGGACAGCTTAAAACACTAGTAGAACTGATAATTCATTTCTAAATGTGGGTTTTCTCTTTTTTGGTTATAAAATTATCTTTCATTTAAAAAAGGCTGGTTAAAGCATTTTCATCTTCTCCATCCCCAACAAGGTGATGTTTATTTCACTGCCTTCAGGAAACTGCACCCAGTACCTTTTTTTATTTTATTTTTATGGATGTAGATCAGAAAACCTATGTGCTGATGCCGCCTTTTCTTTGAAGATGACCTTGTTTCCCTCTGCTTTTAATCTGCTTGAGTAAACTGCTGCTTTAAGAATTTCAGAAGGCATTCCATAAATCTGTAGTGAAGTGTGAAGTTAAAACAGATAGGACAAGCATAATGGTGCTTCGCTCATGAAAGTGGGAATTAAATTATTGAAGAGAGGAAAATATGGATGGGCCATGGAGAGGGAACTGAGGAAACAAATATAAAATTTCATGAAGAGGAAAAAAAGGAAAAGCTGAGAAGCCTTAGGCAGATATTAAATTTGCCAAATGAAATGCCCAACAGACTTCACTACAGTATTAATTAGTGACTATATGATTACCTATGTCCTGCGTTCTGGTTGGGCTTTGATTATTTCTAATGTTACAGCTTAAGGATAAATAACTTCATTTGTGCAGTGATAAACTGAAAGAATTTCTGACTAAAACTGAATTTTAACTCTTTCAGGTTTTCCCAGTCTCAGTGCATCTGTGCTGGATGCAGTGATCTGTGTAAAGGATCATCATTTGCTTTGGAGTGCTGATGTACATGTGAAGATTTAAATCTAGTTATTTACTTGTTCACTTGTGGGATTTGGCTGAATGACCTGACTTAAAAGCAGATGGATAACGTAAGGGATTCTTTGCAGAATCGTGCCACATTCTAAATGGTTCTCTGTGTAGCACAGAACATCCCTTACTCTTTTCTTCTGAATCCTCAGTTTCATATGTCTTCCTAGAATAGTTTTATTCTTTCTCACCATCAAGTAATCAATACTAACTGTTTAAAGGTGCTGTTACTGAACTTTCTACTCTCTTACATGAATTAAGTTTTTATTTTGCCAACTATATAAGAACTCTATATGTTTCTTTTCAGCTTTCTGTTGTGCTGTTGCTTTCTGTCATTTCAAGTGACTCCATGTGTTGCTTTCATCACCCTGAAAGCACAATCTATAACTGAAAAATGGGCTCTGAATTTGTGTGGTTGGCAAAAGCTGTGGTCTAAAAAAGACATCAGAGCCCTTTCAAAATGTTGTGATGTTCCACAGAGGATTTCATTTCATGTTGTACTGTAGAACATAAAATTAATATAATGGCGAGAGATGTTAGGCATGCTCATCTCTAATAATGGCTTAGCAAGATACAGCCTGAAAGTGTATTTTCCCATTGAAACTGCATTTATATTGAAAACTATATATAATGTGTAATGTATTACAAAGTGAACTTTATCAGGTGGTTGCAAATGATGACTGACATCCTTTGTTATCTACAGAATCGAAGTAATATTAATAAAAGTACTAAGGGCTGAGCTCTCCCTGCACCCTGTGTGCACTGCAGGTAATAAGCTAAGTATCATCAGATGTCTACAACACAACAACTTCAGTAACTGGAAGTCGGGTGTTTCATAAGTGTGTGAATTAATTGTGTCCATGATGTCAGCCAAAAATTGGAGCTTGCTGGTGATTCTTGAGGTTCTCCTTTATGTGGTCATGAGCAAAATGGTAAGATGAGAAATAATTCAGTTAATGATGTGGGCTGAGTTCTCACAGGTAGAGTCCAGAGATGAACTGTGGTCTTTGCAGCCATTGTACCCATGAATGCTTCTCTGCTCAGTGTCTGCATTTCTGTCCTGCAGCTTTCTTTGGTCCCATTTCAAACCCAGCACAGGATTTATGAGATGACAATTGGCTCCATCGTGTTCCAGGTGGCTGCTGGTGATATTACCAAGGAAAGTGGAGATGTCATCATAGACATATCAAACCAAACTTTCAACCTCTAAACAGGTACTTCAGTCACTATTATGTGTGGAAATAGGACTATTTCCACATGTAATAGGAAGCACTAAGAAGGTGAGTGGGAAGCTTTCTTGTTATTCTATGCTACTGGATAATGCATTTAAGACTTGCAGGAAAGTGAAATTATTAACTTCAATTTTTCGATAATATCTTTTAACACAACATCTCTTATATTAAAGGAGAGGAATGTTATTGTGGCTTTTACTTCAGTGAAACTTCTTAGGTTTCTCAAGATGTCTTTTGACTTGAAATGCATAAGCCTAATATTTAAATGATACTGTCCAATTATAATTTGTGCTTTTACCAAAAATGAGAGTATGGAGTATCTGATTCTGCCTTCAAGACAAAAGAGCATCTAAACCTTTGTAAAGAACAAGATCTACCTATGATTGCATCCTCTTATTCTGGTAAAGCTTTAAATGATATAGACAAGTCCACAGACTTGAACACAGGTATGAGCTGAGGATGATGTTAGCAGAACTCTTAATAGAGAAGCTGTGTCTCATTAGGAGCAACTCTCTGCCTGCAACTTTTTTTTTATTCTGGAGTGAATAACATTTGCTGTTGTCTTCAATAGCAACCCACTACTGTACCCTGCATGACTAAGAGGGGAAAATCTTTTCATCTGGGTTCCTGCCTTAGAAGAGGCATTTGTAGACCAAACTGAGCTAGTGAATGGCAAACACAATGAGGAGTAAGGATGGAGAAGGATTTGGCTTAAAAGCCTGTTTGCAGGCTTCCTTTATTTTGATAACAGAAGTGGGAAAGTCTCTGGTGTGGAGGTCAGCTCACAAGAGCAACGAGAGGGAAGGATTACATGGAGGAGCTGAGCAGTCTTGTGGAAAGACTGACTGTAGTACTTAGTCTGCATGAAGTTTTCTACATCTGCAGAGCAAGCTTGGAAAAGAAAGGTGCACAACACTTTATTTGGCAAATAATTCACAATCATGAACTGCATCCCAGAAAGTAAAAAGAGGGGGTATTTATCAGCATGTGAAAAGAGACTTGAAGCTTATCCTGGGATGTATCTATTGTTCTTTCTTATCTCCTAATGATGATGACTGTATGTGTTGTAAATAATTGTTGATTGTTTACTTACCCCTGCTTATGTTTCATCCTTGCAGGCTAATGATGGCTATATAACCACCAAAGCAGGTGTGTGAAGCCTGCTGTGCAAAAATAAAAATAATTCATTTTGTTGCCCAAGATGATATCCAAGTGTCAGTCTCCAGAATGCTTCAAGAATGTGGATTACAGCAGTATACCTGTTATCTTCCCAGTGATTGAAACAGGTTTGTGTTGTCGTCTTGAACTGGTTCAGTACATGCAATTCTGTAGATCTCAGAGCTGAAACAATTAGTGTGTCTGGAAAGGTAGTTCTTTAGTGGAAACATATTCAAAAACTGTCAGGAAACTTATGAAGAGACTGGAGACTTTATCTTTACAGTTTGATAGTAGGTAATGAGTATGAGTGCTCTAGAGCTGACTCTTTCTTGATAATAGGGGTTCAAACTTATTTATATTTATAATATATGCATCCTCCAAAGGAAATATGCAAAGCAGTTTTGGCAAATAAAGTTGATCAGGCTTGTTTAGATTTGTGGTGAGAGTGAGAAGCAAGTGGAAAAAGCAGAAACCTGGCTGAAGAGTACAATTCTGAAAGAACAGTTTCAAAGATTCAAATCAAGGGTGGCTCCATCTTGGATTTTGATAAGGCAGAGAATGAGGAACTGCATGACCTACAAATGAGGTTAAATATTGCTCTGTTTTTAGGAGACAACTCTATTCAAATTACAGGACTTAGCCAGGATGTCTGGTTTGCTTACTCAAGTATCCAAGACATGATCCACAGTGTTAAAACTGCTACATGTGAAGCGATCTAAGAAGATCTTTTTCAAAAATTGAGTGGAAATACTTGGAAAAAAGATTCCTATGTATCCTTCAACAGTATGACAAATTTTCTTGGAAAGTGCTTTTATAAGAAAGCAGAAAGATGTTTCAGTTTTCATTAACAAGAAAAAGTACACAGTGAACATAGAAGTGTGCTACACGTTATCTTTCCTTATCTGTAGCACTTGTACTAATAAATCTGCAGGTTAGCAAAAGCATCTTGATGAGTTGAGGGATATTCACACACTAATCTGGGTTGCATCTAGCTGAGTCAGTAAGAAATAGGAAGAATACATAGAATATTGTTAGATGCCATTTCTGGAGAAGGTGTTAGAGTGGGGAATGACAGTAAGAGGATTGTGCAGTTATTTAAAACTGTTGGAAATAGAGGTATGCATTCAGAAGTTCTTAACAAGCTTACCAGCAATAATTAGACATGCTTGTAGAAGTTGCCATTCTAAACCATTTCTGTTCTCAAGATGAGCCCTCTTCTATTTATTTCAATGATTTTTCTTATAAAAAACTTGTTTCTCTGGTCCTTACAGGACTCTTCCTGGTTGTTTCCATTGTGTGCAAGAACATACACTGACCAACATTGCTGATGCATTTAGTTCTCCTAAGTGGTCACTGAAGTAAGTTGGGATAAGACAGAAAATAAAAATTTTACTGGTGATTAATTTTGGGGTCACAACAGGGGGGCTGATGAGATGGAAATAGCATTAAAAGTAATAACTGCATCTCTATTTCAAGAATCTTGAAATTCTAGGCTTGCATGGACTTGTACATTTGACACACATCTTAGCAGTGTTACCTTCCATCTTGCTCAGAGTGCTAGATGACCATCCTCGGCCCCCCAGGTACCTCTGCATAATAGGTTTGAGGCCCTGGAACTCGAGGGAGAGGTGAGTGGAGGTGTGGAGAGAAAATCAGTTGACCCCATGCCTCAAGACTGCCTCCACCTGGAAGGATAGAAGGGTGGCTGTTGTGGGAGACTCCCTGCTGAGAGGAACAGAAGACCCTATATGTTGGCCTGACCCTACCCATAGGGAGGTGTGCTGCCTCCTGGGGCATGGGACAGAGACATTTCTAGGAGACTGGTCTGATTCGCCCTTCTTGTCTGATTATCACCCATTATTGATAGTCCAGGCTAGCAATGACGAAGTTGCTGAGAAGTCTCAGAGCTATCAAGAAAGACTTCAGGGGACTGGGGCAGGTAGTCAAGGGAGCGGGTGTGCATGTGGTGTTTTCTTCTATACCTTCAGTGGCAGGGTAGGATACTGAGAGGTACCGAAAAACCCACCTTGTAAATAAGTGGCTTAAAAGTTGGTGCAAATCCAGGAATTTTGGGTTTTTGACCATGGGGAAACTTGGCGCCTGGCATGATGGCAGCAAATGGAAGTAGCCTGTCTCTGAGGGGGGGGAGGATCTTAGCTGAGAAACTAGCAGGACTCATTGATAGGTCTTTACCCTAGGTATGTGGGGGAAAGGGGGCAAAATTGGGGCCGCTGGGGTTGAGCAGGTCATTTGAGGGCTCGTACTGAACCTGATGGGTTCTACCTTTTAAAAGGGTAGATAACAGCGGGACGAGGGGAAATGGTTTTGAGGGAGGGAAGATTCAGGTTGGATGTCAGGGGAAATTCTTTACCAAGAGAGGTGAGGTACTGGAACAGGCTGCCCAGAGAGGTTGTGGATGCCCCATCCCTGGAGGTGTTCAAGGCCAGATCGGATGGGGCCCTGGGCAGCCTGGTCTAGCATTAAATGAGGAGGTTGGTGGCCCTGTATGTGGCAGGGGGGTTGGAGATTCATGATCCTTGAGGTCCCTTCCAACCCTGGCCATTTTGTGATGACAGTTTTAGTTAAGTTACCAATAAAAAAAAAAGTGGTACAGAACTCAAGAGCAGACTTGCTTGAATGGCTTGTCCCTACCTGGTTCTCCCCACTTGCTGTGGATCTCCTTATTTCCACGAGGATATTTGCCTGAAATCTGTATGAACCGTTTAACCAGTTATCTTGCTTATATAAAATTCTCTTTATGGCTACTCTTTCTTTTCTTATGCTAAGAAAAAGGGAAGAAAGAAAAATCAAAGCTTAAAGTAAATTACAACGTTTTATTTTTCCATTGTCTGCTAAGCAGCCTGGTTCAAACGCAGTTCCTGACTTCTGCCAGCAGCTTGCGCCGTTTATCTTCCTCGCACCCAGGAACACAAGACTTCCAACAGAAATCTCTGAGGCTGCACTAGAGCTGGTGTGACAAACAAGAGGGACAGCACAAAAGCTGTAAAGGAGAAGCATCCCTACTGTTGATCCACCTCTGGGTCATGTATAAGAGCAAAATGTGAAGGGAAGGCATGAGATGTAAGGAGAAGGCTGAGGTCCTCAATGCCTTCTTTACATCTGCATTAATAGGCAGATCAGTTATCCTCAGGGCACTTTACGTCCTGAGTCTGGAAGCCTGGAATGCTATGCAGAATACACCCCTGGTGATTCACGTGGAGATGGTTAGAAAGCACCTTCTCCATCTGGACTGTCACAGGTCCATGGGACTGGATGGGCCCCATCCTGGGGTGCTGAGGGAGCTGGTGGGGGTGATTGCTGAGCCACTCTCAGCCAGTGCTCCTGGTTATCTGGAAAGGTCCTAGAGGATTGGAGGCTTGCCAATGTGACTCCCATCTACAAGAAAGGCCATAGGGAGGATCTGAGGAACTACAGACCTGTCAGCCTGGTCTCAGTACCAGGGAAAGTTATGGAGCAAATCGCCTTGTGTGAGATCACAAAGCATGTGTGTGGCATCCAGGGGCTAGGGCCCAGCCAGCACAGGTTTGTGAAAGGCAGGTGGTGCTTGACCAACCTCATCTCCTTCTCTGACTTGTTGATCAGCCTGGTAGGCGAGGGAAAGACTGTTGATGTAATCTACCTAGACTTCAGCAAAGCCTTTGACATGGTCTCTTGCAGTATTCCTCTGGGGAAACTGGCTGCCCATGGCCTGGACAGGTATACCCTTCTTTGGATAAGGAACTGGCCATGCCCAGCAGGTAGTGGTCAATGGAGCTAAATCCAGGTGGTGATCTGTTTCAACTGGTGTCCCCCAGGGGTTGGTACTGGGGCCTATCTTGTTTAATATCTTTATTGGTGACCTAGACGAGGGGATTGAGTGTACCCTCAGTAAGTTTGTAGATGACACCAAGCTGGGAGGTGGTATTGATCTGCCTGAGGGTAGGGAGGCCCTTCAGAGGGATTTAGATAAGATGGATTGCTGGGCTGAGGTAAATGGGATGAGGTTACCAAGGTCAACTGCTGGGTCCCGCACTTTGGCCACAACAACCCCATGCAGTGCTATAGGCTTGGGGATGAGTGGCTGGATGACTGTGAATAGGAAAGGGACCTGGGGGTGTTGGTTGATGCTCGGCTGAATATGAGCCAACAGTGTGCCCAGCTGGCCAAGAGGGCCAACGGCATCCTGGCCTGCATTAGAAACAGTGTGGGCAGCAGGAGCAGGGAGGTGATCATCCCCTGTACTCAGCACTGGTGAGGCCACACCTCGAGTACTGTGTTCAGTTTTGGGCCCCTCACTACAGGAAAGACATTGAGGCCCTGGAGCGTGTCCAGAGAAGGGCAGTGAAACTGGTGAGGGGTCTGGAGCACAAGTCTTATGAGGAGCGGCTGAGGGAGCTGGGATTGTTCAGTCTGGAGAAGAGGAGGCTCAGGGGAGACCTCATTGCACTCTACAGCTTCCTGAAGGGAGGTTGTGGTGAGGAGGGGTTTGGCCTCTTCTCCCAGGCAATGAACAGGACCCGAGGAAACGGCTGCAAGTTGTACCAGAAGAGGTTTAGGTTAGACTTAAGGAAGAACTTTTTCTCTTAGAGTGTGGTCAGGCACTGGAATGGCTGCACAGGGAGGAGTCGCCATCCCTGGCAGTGTTCAAGAGGCATCTGGGTGAGGAGCTGCGAGATGTGGGTTGTGCTTGTGGTAGCAGTGGTAATGGGAGGATGGTTGGACTAGATCTTATAGGTTGTTTCTGACTTTGTGATTCTATGACACTATCAATGTAGGCACCTCTATGTAACAGTGCTGCATTCCCTAAGCAGAGCTGCAAGAGTTAATGTGGCCCCAAAGACATCTTAGACATGCAGCTGCATATACCATCAATTATAGAAGCAGCCTAAATAGTTCTTAGCCTCAAAAATCATAAGAAATGGTGACTTGTGGGGGGAAAAAAGCTTTTGAAATATGTTCTAAAGTACAGTAAAATACATCTTGTTATTGGCACACCCCAGTCTCATTGTGAGGCTTTTCTTTTTAATAACACTGCTCTCAACTGTATGTGACACTGTCAAGCTCTCCATGCACACACACTTGTCTGTTCAACTGATAGACAGAGTCTTTATTTTGAACACCTATGATGCCTCTGCGAGCACTGCTTTCTGTAAACAAAGCGTGGCTGTTGCCTGGAAAATAGTTCATACAGGCAACTTGGAGACATTGCAACTGTCTGGCTTCTCAAGTATGACAGGAGTCAACAAATAATAATCATTTCATACCAAAATCCAACTGATATCCAAAAAGCTTAGAAGCTGAAACAGGTATATTTAAGCTGTCTTCAGATGTTCAATATCTAAAAGCAGTATTCAGTATGTGAGTTTAAAGTGGTAGTTTGTTAAAGTTTCTTTTCTTGCCAAACATCAGTCTGTTCCTGTCCATTCACCAGTTTGTGAGCTGACCCTAATGCTTCTAATGAGAACAAGAGGATACAAATCAATCTTTGAGTCAGTATTACTACTAGCATGGAAGCATCCTATGAAAGAAATATTGCACAGAAGGTGTCTGTACTGTTTGCCATGTCTTATCCACTGTGTACAAGCAGAGCTTAAAAAGAGAGCTTAACATTACAGATGGAAATACATGCAATACTTTCACTTTTCTTCCTGTTGTGATATTTTTTTTTTCCCCTCTTTTTGTGCAAGAGAACAAGGGGGAATTGCTTTTTATTAAGTTCAGGACATATATTCATTGAGCGTGATGTTAACGAGTTATGATCTAGTCCACTGCCACTGAACGTTGAACAGGATCAGAAAAGCAATGTATTTTCACTGGCAGCAGCATTATGCTGAGAGCCGAGTGGGGAAACTGGTCTGAGCTGTGGTTGTGCTAGCTGAATGAGAGAGATCCCTGGTGGAATTTCTCACTAAAGCTAGATTGAGGACAAAAGAAAAAAATACTTCAGAGAAAAGTCTTACTGAACTTTGCGTACAGTTAAATTCAGCTTCAACTTTAATAAATTGACATTTATGAACTAAAATCAGGCCTGCCCAAAAAGCTGCCTATCTCTGATTCACACCAACCAAGTAAAAACCATGAAGAGTGCTGAGTGATCACAAGCTTATGAGATCTATTGAAACAGCAGCTGTGCACTTCCATGTCTGTCTCACAAAAGCAGAGGTGACAGAGACTCTTGCCGGTACTCCAATGGCATTGAACGCTAGGAAACATCAAATGCAGTCACAGCAAAGATAATCCATCTCTGTGGTATCAATACATATT